AAGTTATAAAATAACCCACTATGCCAAATTATTAAAGTACTATGGTCATAAAAATATAATAAATAATAAATTAATATTAACCCGAAGCTCAAGAAAACAAAAGAAGTTTAAACGACATGTCCAACAACTATAGTTATTTCTTTTCATCACCATAGTCCCAACTAATCCTGCAAAAGAAGCTTGGCTGCGCTCAAACAGAACGCACTTGAGTTACCAAAAGACAAAACGGGTCAGTATACAAATATATTGGTATGAGCACAAATATTTGACACCTACGTGCGCCAGATACAAACAAAAGTACATTTAATTCTTGTTACGGGACAAGACAAGTAGTTCCACCCGCACTGAGACGAAGGGGTAGTTTTCCGATATATGGTGGCATTTAATTTCTTACCCGTACACAACTAAATATAAATTAAGTACAAAATAAACATAAAAATATGGTGGGTAATTAGTTAGACCCACAATTCTACAAAAAAATAAGGTTAGTATAATTTAATTATAAGTAAATTACTGAAGAAGTAAAAAAAAATGCACTGTTTCATGCTTAAATAATTCGAACTGACCAAAACTTAAAGAACAAAAGTTGTACATAATCAAATTTTCTATAAGGCATAATGAACGAATTTAGTAAAAACTGAACAGGTTAAGAGAAAAACTTGATAGAAGAACCTAAACGGAATTCAACAGAAAAATCTGAAACTGAAAACGAAAAGAAACTGCCCTAAGATGATTTTTTTTAGAAAAGTTTAAAACATGAAAAGTGTTCAGAATAAGGTTTTACTTTAGTGTTATCTGAAACCAATAAAAAAAGAGCTCGTTTCGTGGGTTAAAATAGCATCTAAAATCTGTATTGCTTGAATAAATAAAAACTATTATAACCAAGATCATCCGATTACAAATTCTAATCAATCTTTTTAATACAAAGTTAAAATACAAAAGTTGCCTAGAATTACATATACATTTCTCTGCCCAAATTTCATAATTCATCAAGGTCGTTTACTATTTTTCAAGATGTACAAATCAAAACAATTCAAACTATACCAATAAGTTCATATTTAATTATTTGTACCTTAATTCCACCACTTCGGCCCTTCACTTCCGGCCTACGCATATATCCTATGTGCCTCCTGTATACCTAACACGGCTCCGAAACCAAACTTGCACGGGGATATCGTCCCGAGTTTGACACACACTCCCTGGATGGTTAACATATACATACGTGCGTAAATCAAAGTACTCGTCTACTCATGAGAACGAGACAACAGTATATATATTTACACAATCTCTCATCTATTCATGAGAACAAATATAACAATGCCAAGCCTAAGACATTTACATGAATCTCATAATCCTCACTTTTTTTATTTTTTTTTATTTTTATACACTTTTTCTCATCAACACTCAAATAAAACAATAATCCATGAAATCATGGTGGAGTATAAGGAATTTATTTATGGATTATAAGTTTATTTTAATTTCATATAACCATGAGTGTGATTATAACCATAAAATAAATACATATAAAAACCCTAAACCTGACATACACAACTAATCAAAATAATTAAAATCACTCTATCGTATTTATGTAAATACAAGATCAAACTAACATCAAATAAATAAAAATAATGAATTAAACATAAATCAAGGGAAGTGGATTTTGTACTCACAATTATTTTTGAAGATCAAAGAATCACTTAGAGAATTAATAGAGCCACCAAAATAAAACCCAAACCCCTTTTATTTTTTTCCTCCGCTCTTCTTTCCTACCATATCTTTGTTCTCTCTCAGTTTCTCAAGGATTGATCACACACACTCTCTCTCTCTCTCCCCCCGCGGCTACTGTTAAAAATTCTTCCACAAAAAGTGATTAAACCTAGGTCTAGTATATTATATCTAATTGGCTATTATATTTATATCTTACACATATAACTAAATACAATATACACAAATATGATATATATTTTATCAATATATAAAATACTTTTTTTTATCTATAAAATATATAAATATTCATATTAATTATATATAATTATCTACTACATTAAATTAATTAAACAACACATTAAATTCACATATAACCACACAATAAATAGAGTTAAAAATAAAATAGGATCATAATAATAATTAATAAATAAAGACTTACGAAAAATCAAGATCGCAAAAAAAGATATAATAGAGATGGGTTAAATTATAAATCAAGTAAATATTAATTTCTGTATGAAAAATGTAGGTAATCATTTATTGTTGCCGGTGGTATTTTGGCTTAAAAAATGCTAACGATCCTTAGCCTCCGTTTGGCAAGCAAAAAGCCAGGCTTTTTTGGCTAAAATAGCCACAAAAAACAAAATAGGCTATTTTAGCCACAAAAAACAAAACATCAAATCCAACCCATAATCATTACAATCCTCTCTCACAAAAAAAACTAAAAAAGTCAAAAAGCCAAAAAGCCCTTTCCAAACCAGGCTAAAATAGCCCAGGCTAAAATAGCTAAAAAGTCAAAAAGCCAACCCACTTCCCAAACGAAGGCTTAGTATTACTAAATTATCAACAATTCACAATGAGGTGTGGTCCCTCACTCATATGTGAGGTTGCATTCATTTGTTAGATTTTACAGATTCTCGATAAACTTAGGCTAGCCGTACTTATTGAGGTTTGAAGAGTACTATAATATTTGGAACCATGACGAGTCAACTTTTGGGATCAAAATTTAAGGTTCACCTTACCCCTTCATTAAGACACCCCGAATGAATTAGTTGGTATTATAAATGTTTGAAATCACGAGCAAAAATAGTAATAATAAGTGAAAATGACAAAGGCACTTCACTTCTCAATCATAAAGCAAAGTTTCACAATCCTTTGAGTTATCTTTTTCCTTTCCATGTTACCTTTTCCTCCTTATCCATTTTCGGAAAAATCAATAACTGAAGGGTTTAACCATTTTGCCTTATTTATAATTGATTTAATATAGTTTACTAATTTAGTTGACGATGATAATGTTTTGGGAAAAAAGAAGTCATCATTTCAAGTGAAAGGGAAGTTTGCAAAAGGGAAGTTCTCATTTTGAGACCTTCTTCTCTTACTTTCTTTTTTTTTTTTTTTTTTATAAAAAGATTTATTTTTAATGGAGCTTATTCATATTATTTATAATGATTCTGCCAATGTCAATCAATCAAGCATAAATGATTTTATTTCTTAGTTTTTTATTATCACCAACATTAAAATTGTCATTATTTTTTTACTTTTTTCAAAATATTATAGATCCGGAAATATCAAACAATACTCTTCTTATTCAATGTATTGTATAACTTTTTAGTTGACATGAAAATATTACAGTGACTATCTTGAATATAGCAATGGGTTGAATATTTAAAAAGGAGCCGTGCTTCCGACCCCCAGTGGGGGTCGCACTCCCAATGACGTGACAGCATGGGGTTGACAGAAAATATTAAAAAAATAATAATAACAATTTTTTTTTTTGAACCAATCACACGTGACCCCTAGTACCCCACTGGGGTCCGAAGCTTTTTCCTTTAAAAAGAAGCTTTTATTGAGTTGTTCATTAGTTTGTTACTTAATATTTTTAGCCTGAATTAGCGTTTATTTTTGAAGTTTTTTTATTTTAATATATATTTTTTGAACCTATTATGATTGCCTAAGCATACTCCCAAGCCATAGAGAAACGAAGAGAAAATGACAAAAAAGTGAAAACAAGAAGAATGATAATGTAATTATTTATGGTCAAGTCATCTCTTAAACTTTACGAAAAGTCTTCATTGATTGCCTACTTCGTTCATGAGAAATAAGCAGAGTCACACACCCTACGCCATTTATAAAGATAGATAGATAGAAAAGATTGAAAATTGAGTTTTTTAATTTTGTATTTTAGGAAATATTTTTAAAATTTTAAATATATTTTTTATTTTTTTAGATGTATCTTACTTAAATGTATATAAAAAATAAAAAATTTGTGAAAAATATTTTAAAAAATTAATAAATACATAAAAATATTAAAAAAAATGTACAGAATTCTCGTATTTTCTTTTTCGTATTTTTGATATTTAGGGAATTTTTAAAATATTTTTTTCATAATTTTTTTACTTTTTAGGTATATTTATATTAGGTATATCTAAAAAGTAAAAAAAAAAAATTTAAAATATCAAAAAAATTAAGTAAAAATAAAAAAACACTGAAAACAAAAAAAAAAAATGAATTTTTTAAAAAGTATTTTTAAAAAAATGAAACCAACCAAAATGAATAGAGTTAAAGAGTGATATGTGGAGCTCACACGTCTTAGTAATGAGTAAATATTTTTTTAAATATATCTTGTCTAATATATGAGTAATTGATAATTTAGTAAGAAAAATATTAAAAATAATCTTCAATATTATTGTTAGAATAAAAAAAAAACAAAAAAGTAACAAATTTATTAAAATATATAAAAACATTATAAATAATTTCACATTTCATTCCATTAGTAGAAAGGGTAATTTTATATCAGTGAAGATTGAAAAAAACATTTTTAAATTAGTAAAAAAATATTATAAATATAAAAAATCAAATTAAATAATTTTTTTTATAAAATTGTAATTAATTTTTGAAGAGATATCAAACATGTAAATTCCCCATAATAAAAAGTTTTATTATATATATATATTATTAAGTAAAAGTTAAATTTGGTGTCAAAACATTTATGTTATGTCACGCAAAAAATTTATTTAATCTAAAATAAAAAATATTATTAAAATATGTAAATAATATTTAAATTTACTCTTATTATTTGGACAATATATTTATAATATTATTTATTTTTATTTATCAACTTGTGCCACTGTAGTGTAGTGTAATGTAATAGAGGCCAGTTTCTAATTTGGCGCGCCTGACCAGTCACCATTATCTTATGTGCCGCCACGTGTAACCACTACTCTATTCTACTGGCCAGTTTCACTCCCTGTCAATTCTCCAACTATCTTTTCAACTCAGCATTGACTCGACACATAAACAGTGTTCAGCTCACTGTTCACCAGCCCACTTCACACTCCGTACTCTCTCTCTCTCTCTCTTTAGAATCCTTGAACACGTATGTGTACGAAGTGAGAGAGTTTCAGAGACAACGATCGAGATGATGATGATGATGAACACGAAGAAGAATCAGCAGAAGAGGCTCGATCGACGCAACGCAATCAAGAACATCGACTACGACGCTTCTCTATCTCCGTCGCCGTCTTCGTCTTCGTTTGAAGGCCAGTCTCGTCTCCGGACTCGGTCGCTCGATCTTCCCCCTCCACTCGCCGTCGACGGAACTAGCTTCCGAATCCAAGGAACCACCGACGGCGAGTTCGATCGGATCTGCCGATCTCTAGGGCTTTCTGGAATCGAAGATTTTGCGATTCCCACGGCTGCTTGGGAGGCTCGCAAGTCTCGCTCTTCTCGCTCTTCTTTCGATCATTTTACGAGCTCTAGGTTTCGAAATCATCAGAATTCCGACAAGTTTGGGGTTGGATCGGGTGAGGAGGATGGTTTGTCAGATGTTTTTGAAGCTAAGGTTGGGGTTAGTGGTGATCGGTTGAAGAATGGTTTGAATTCAGCTAAGATTATTGAAGCTAGGGTTAGGCAAAGTGACGAGTATGTGAATATTGTTAAGAATTCGGTTAGTGTTAGATCTACTAGGAACGGTGGATGTGGAATTAAAGGTGTTCGACCACCAGTACTTGATCCTCCGCAGCCACCAATGTCACCGTCTGTTATGGATAATGTTAGTTCAATTCGGGTTGAAGATTTGAGTTCCGGAGTTGGAGACGAAGAAATTGATGAACGAATTGGGGGGAAACAAGATAAGGACAAGGCGTGTTTAAGAGATACTAGTGTTGATTCTGAATCTTGTTCAGATACATCAAACGATGACAAGGATGATGATTCCTTTCGCATGAATATGGAACCCCTCTATTCTATTTCGCCTAATGGAAGCTTTAAGCGCAACATCAAGTCTTGGCAGAAGGGTGAATGTCTCGGAAGCGGGTCCTTCGGAACGGTGTACGAAGGCTTCACTGAGTAAGTATTCTCTAATAATACTTCAATCTTGTTTATATCTTCCCCAATTGATGTGCCAGTTATGATTAATTATAACAGTTGTTCTTGTCTACAAGTTAGATATTGCTTTTCAAGTGAAGAGACCTTGACATTTTTTTTATTCTTGGATGATGAGTACTAGAAATTGTAACGAGTGAATCGAAGAAGCAGTGGTAACCTGGAAAACGGCCTCTATGTATTCATTATAATTATACAATTGTCTAAACAAAATGGTTAAGGCCAGTCTTTGGCTGCACCGTAGTTGGACAGTTAGAAGTTATTTTGTTCCAAACTGTATTTTAATGGCTGCTCTATCTGAAACCTGAGACTAAAGTGATTGGTGTCAATATGTGTCTAACTTTTGGCATTCCGTAGGCTGTGAACGGAACAAGTGAACCTATCAATTTTCTATAGTGGATTCTTTTTAATGAATAAGCTGGCAATTTGGAGGCAGAAGTTTTAAAGGATCACATTTACTCTACATACAGACTCACTTCTGACATTTTTCCATCTCCTCGGGCCTGGCCCAACATTCTTAGGGGCATAAAGCAAAATCTCAAAAGTGGATTTTATACTTAAACGTTAATTTAAATAATATTTGGTATATGTTGTAAAATTTATTTTTTTATTGCATATTTATTCTTGTAATGTAATTAAGATAGTTTTATTGTCTTTACCATTGAGGACATTTTAACAAAGATTTTTTATTTGTTGGGCTTTTTGCTGGAAATTTGTGTTAATGCATATAATAAGATAGTGGCATATGATAGTGGTGTTGGTGGTAGATAGTGGCATGTATATAATATGATAGTGGTAGATAGTGGTAATATATAATATGTAAGTGGCATATAATGGGTTATAATGATGTTTGTAATATCTCCTATATAAGGAGTGTCATTTGGTCTTGTAAAATAAGAAGTTTTGAATATAACAGAAATATATTCCTTCTTCCTCATATTTTCGGAGTTCTTCTTCCTCATATTTTCTAAGTCTTTTAGTTGAGAATTTATTTTTTTCCATTGCCAGACCGTTGAGCAAAGAATGTCTTATTCATCATTTATTATTAAGGGCCTAAGGATAAAAATCGTTTTATTTTGATGGCCTTTGGATAAGGAAATTTTTAATTTTGCTTTTTTTGTAGGTCTTATCAGTTTATTTTTTAACTTTGTGCTAGGTCTTAGGACAAAGAGGGTTTATTATTTTGCTGGGCCTATAGACAAGTAAATTTTCTTTTGGTAGGATCTTGAAAGGTTAGAGGGTGAAAACCTGGGGTCTCAACAAAATTAGGGGACTTATTCTAATTTTGAAAGGAAAGATTATTGACGTAATTAATTTTAGGCTAGAGGATATAGTCCAAAGTTTTTGAAGTCCTTTGTAGGGCCTTTGATAAAGTTAGATAACTTTCATACGTCTCTGTTGAGGGTCCTAAGGTCTTGTGATTTTTTATTTTTATTTTTTTGTAGAAACTTTATTATTTTTATTGGCTATATAAAAACATATATTTAATTTGGGGCCTTCTACACTTGCTTTATAATAGAGCCAGACCTGCTTTGCTTTTCTAAATGACATTTTGGCTTCTGTTATAGTTTGATTTTATCTCTTTCTTCCTCGTCTCACAGTAGGAGATCTTCTCTCTTTTCCATGTGTTTCTTTTTCTTCTATTGTATAACTGGCCTTTTTCTTTTTCCCTCAGATTCCCACCTATCCATGTTTCTGTACCTCTCATATTAATCTTATATTTTCTGCAGTGATGGCTTCTTTTTTGCTGTGAAGGAGGTTTCTTTACTTGATCAAGGAAGCCAGGGCAAGCAAAGCATTTTACAACTTGAACAGGTAATGCAAACTTGTCATGTTATAATAGTTTTTGCATGTGGTGTATGTACATGCAGGTACAAAACCATTTCATTGCTTTGATTAAAAAAAAAAAACTATTTCATTGCTGATTTTTGTTGCTTGTTGTCCTTTTCTTATTTCATGCTAATTGGTTCAGGAGATTTCACTTCTAAGCCAGTTTGAACACGAGAATATAGTTCAATATCTTGGCACAGACAAGGTATGGCTTTTATAATATGAGTGGGCTTCTTTGTTTACCTCCTCTACCCATTTGCTATGGAATCTTCTTGGATATGTGCTTCGTATTACCATGTTCTTTGTTGATTATACACTCAAAAAGATGCTTTTGTCATGAAATTCTGTATTTCTTGACCGTGTCAACAATTTATAAATAAAACAAGAGGAGACAAATTCTAAGAAGATTCAATCTGGACAAAAAGAAATAAACTTCCATATTTTATGGCTTAATATTAAGTTCTTTGTTGCAACCATGAAATGTTGGCAGTGTACGGTCACTGGCATAATTTCTCCACCATTGTAGCGTGTGAAAAACATTTCGTATGCTTAACCACTAAGAAGCACGCACTTCTTGTGTTGAACACTCCCCGATATGTGCTGGACACTCAACCAAACGTTTCCTATGTTTTAAAAATTTTATGGACTGACACACATGGGAGACACATGTGTCCATCTCTTAGACACTTATGAAACACGTGACAAAAAAAAAAAAAAAAAAAAACTTGAGATTCAATGATAAAATAAAAATAATGTACATTTATACCTATTAATCACTCTTTCAAACTTTTTGAATGAGTGTTATGTTGCGCTTTCATATTATCTTTGAATGAAATATTGTATATACAACATAAAAAAAAATAAAATTTGTGCTTTGCATTTTTTTTCAGAATTATCACATTGGAGTGTCCGTGTTCGTGCTTCTTAGTTTGAGAATTAGATTGCTAAATTAAGGGTGAATTTCTCTATTTTGTCCCAATGTTTGGTGTATATTCACTTTTTACCCACTTCTTGTTTGTGCTCTCATCAAACCACATTATACGAAATAAGTGATTATGGTCTATTTGGATGCTCCACGAGTGTTCAGTCCCCAATCGCTTGTGCTGGTCCTTGATAATTGAGGATTCTGGGAGGGGTGGACTGGGCACAACCCTACTAGGGTGATTGCACTCATGGCATACTATTGCAAGCGTTTACATTACCCAAATGATGTATTTAGTTATTTAATTAAAGTTATGTTAGGAATTTTATTAATATTTAGTTTCTTAATTTTATTAGGATTTAGTTTCCAAATAATAATAGGAACCTCTTTCCTATTTTAATTAGGATTTCATGCCTATAAATATTGGGTCTTTTTTATCTAATTTTTAGCTTTGAATAATGAGACTTTGAGTGTTTTATGCTGTGGTCGTTCGTGCTTTGGGCTTTGGCCCTCTTCTCCTTCTTCTCTCTCTTCTCTTTCTTTCTATTGCGTCCTACATCACTTTGTTTATCAACTTATATATACTTGACATTTTCCTTTGCTTTCCTTTAACTTTGTTTTACTTTCCTTTTTTAAGACTTTGATCACATAGTTCAATTACAATTCTTATTCCATATAGGCTGATAATATAAGCTGATTATTGGTTCTTCAAGCTGACATTATACCAGTATCAAGAAATAGTTTTTTAAACATTGTTCTATGGCCAGAAAGAAATATGTTTCATTTATTCTACTTTTGGTTATTCTTGTTCTAGCTCTCTTCCTAGATTATAGGTAGTGGACTTCATATTCTCCCTTTGTTTCCATATATAAATGGTCTTTCCAGGTTGATAGCAAACTCTATATCTTCCTTGAGCTCGTAACCAAAGGTTCACTTGCAAGTCTCTACCAAAAGTATCATCTGCGGGATCCTCAAGTCTCTCTGTACACGAGGCAAATTTTGAATGGTCTGAATTATCTTCACTCGCGAAATGTGGTTCACAGGTGATTAAATGATCTTTTTAGTAATTCTTTGGTTATTTTTGTTGTAGTTAATTCTTGTTTACTTGTTCTATCTTTTCCTTTTTCTCAGTGGCCTTTCTAGTTGCCTTCTTTTTTATCTTCACAAATTTCACATTTTTTAAAGCTTTTGATTTCTATTATTTCTTTCTGCCATGAAGTTCGATCATAGATATTATTTATTAAAAAAATGAATTTGGATCATATGCATAAACTATGCTGATCAAGTGCATCTTCGCTATCTAGAAGGAAAACCTGTCCTTTTTTTCCTCCTCCTACAAAGCATGATGTAACCCAGAATTGTTTTTAAAAAAAAATCAGCTTTTCAACTGGTCATAAGCCTACCCAGAGTTGTGGTCTGTGTTATATGGTTTGGGAGTAAATGGGAGGGGCCAAGATGTTATGGAGTGGACTGGGGTGGGGGCTAAGAGGTGGTTTTCAGTTGCATCTTTCTATAAATGTTTGGTGGGGGATGATGGTTTTGCTTTTCCTTGGAATAGTGTTTGGCTACCGGGTGTTCCGTCTAAGGTGGTTCTCTTTATGTGGACGGCTGCTTTAGGCCGGAATCTTACTTTGGACAACTTAATGTGGCGTGGTCATGTTTTAGTGAATCGGTGTTGCATGTGTTGTCGCGCTGCAGAGTCAGTGGATCATTTGTTTCTTCATTGTTTGGTGGCTTCTCAGTTGTGGGGTTTTATTTGTTCTCTTTTTGGAATTGTTTGGGTTCAACCTAAAGGGGTGGTGGATATGCTTTGGGCGTGGCGGGGTGTTAGGTTTGGGCGCCGTCGGCGGCGAGTTTGGGCGTTGGCGCCGTTTTGTTTGATGTGGCTTGTTTGGTTGGAGCGGAATCGGCGTACTTTCTTACACAATGCTCATGGGGTTGTTTGGTTACAAAATCGTCTTTTAGTAGTTATGTATAGTTGGTTGGAGAGGAAGGTTGATCTAGACTTATTTGTTTTTTTGGATTTTCTAGAAGATGTGATTGATTAGCTTTGTTTATGGGTTGTTTTCCCCAAATTGGGGAAGGCTTTTCTGTATTGGTTTGCATCATCTTGATGCGGTTTTAATAAAATCTGGTTTTAATTATCAAAAAAAAAATAAAGCCTACCCTTTCGACATAGTCCCATCTCCCATAAAAATTTTATGAATAGAATTAAGACGAGCAGGTGAACAGAAGGATTCAGAATAGTTGACTTTGTACATCAACTGGATATCTATGCATGGCCTTTGGCCACAAGTGGAGCTTCTACTATTTCCTTAGCACTCATTAGGATGCTAGTTTATAGCCTACACACAAGGGAACTTGGCAATCAGTTTGTTGAATTAAATTGGTTAACTTATGTGTTTTTGTCATTTTCAGTAAGGGTCTTCATACCAATATCTTTACTGCATAGATGATGGTGCTTGTTGATAAGACAAGACATTGGAGAAAATTTAATATTAAATTCAAAGTCTTGAGTTGGAGACAAATAAATTTAGATTTTGTAATTGGGATTTGAATTTTTTTTAAGTGAAAAAAGAAGAATATAGAAATGAGAGAAATCATAAATAGGTGAGCAGATTCTTAAAAATCAATTCAAGGACACCGTCCTTACATTCTCTCTCTCTCTCTCTCTCTCTCTCTCTGTGTGTTTGTGTGTGTGTCCTGGAAAGAGTCAGCAGCTATAGGTAGAACAGATGCTGGAAATAGTAAGAAATATCTTTCTTTATCCTCCAGACAGGAAGATTGTCACTCAGAAATTTTCCTCAATAAATAAGGAAGCATCTATTTGTGTGTGTTGTGAGTGTCTATTTGGGGTGGTGGTGCATAGAAAGCTAATTGAAAAACAACTGATTTTTTAAGGTATGTATGCATATGTAAGGTATCATGTGTAAATCAAGGACTTTTTATTGATTCGCTTTGAAGCTCAAAATACCGCTATCTGACTAACATGATAGGCGTACTGGAAATCTCAATCTTAGAGTATGCTATTGTAGATTTCCATTGTTCTAAGACTTTCTATTTCTTTCTCTTCTTCAAGGGATATCAAATGTGCTAATATATTGGTGGATGCCAGTGGATCTGTAAAACTTGCGGATTTTGGATTGGCAAAGGTTACTTTCTTCAGCAGAACATGGTCTCTGTTTTTTTTCTTCTTTTCTTATTGATGTTAGATTTTAAACCACATAACTATTATCTGTGTATCTTACCAGGCCACTAAACTGAATGATGTCAAATCTTGCAAAGGCACTGCATTCTGGATGGCCCCAGAGGTTTGCCTGTGTTCTTCTAAAATCTAAAGTGTCTTTGTTTTTTTGGTGGTGTTTTAACTATATTAGCTTGTCGGTATAATAACTCTCTCTATGAATGGTTGGACAATGTTCATTTTATATATTAATTATCCTAGTGTTTCACCGGTCTAGTTGGTAAGTACTAATTTGTAGCTATCTCTAATATGCAAATTTGATCTTTCTTCTTTTCCAGATTGGAATTCTTTGTTACTTTCTTCTTCTTTCGTTTTTTTTTTTTTTTTTTTTTTTTTTTTGGGTGTATGTGTATGTTTGGTTTAGGGATTCCCCAGTGAAGAACACAAAAGATTTTTTTTTATTGAAATGTGAGGCAGTTATTTTATATATTTTTTTTATCACATGCACAGGGTGTCTGGATGTCACTCTGATTAATACTCCCTTACATAGAATTATTATCAGAAATTACCACATACCTCTGGTACACCACTTGTGTCTGTTTTTGTAATTTATTCACTATATACCTTATTTTCCACACCATATTATGCGTTCACTACGAACATAATATTCTTGAAATACATGATAATTACTCAAAGTCATCATTGTTTCTTAAGTACCTAACCAACGTAAGTTAGCATTACTGATAAAATTTTTGCTATGTCATTATTAAGAACACCATGTGAACAATGCCATGCGGTACTTTGGAGCTACACAAATTGTTCACCTATTGTTGTGAATCTTTTGCACACTCTATTATGTTAAAAGGAGAAGTTGAAATTTGTATTTTAATTTAAGAATTTTATTAAGTGGTTTAAAAGTATTGATTAACAATACTTAAAATGGCGAACACAAAAGATAGGGAAACAGAAAAAAAGTCCCTTGTCCGGTGTTGGTCTGGCGAATGTCCATGTTGGTAGGAGTGGACTGGATTCAGACCAACTTTAGCATGTCATGACCTGTGTAAAGGATAATGATCTTTCACAAATCTTCTTGCTGCATGCTATATGTATTTGTCCTCTGCTACAGTGCCAAACTGTTACAGTGCAGAACTACCAACCCAAACCCCTACCACATCTGTACTAATTACATATAAACTATGTTCTATTAACTAGTCATACAAGCTTTTTGTCTACCTATATAAAACTCAGAAAGAGCAGTAATCGTAGTAATAATAATTCCTGTCTACATTTACTTTTTCCCCTGAAATCTGGAATAAGTTATTGCCTCACTTTTAAGGAAAAACAACAGTAGATCATACACGTAGAAGGATGCATAGATGATGTTTCCGACTAATTTGTTTTTTATATTTCATAATATGATATGAGTGCTACTTTTTTCCTGCATGACTGTTATAAAATATTACAAAAAAAAAGTTTTTATTTCTAATTTGTACTTGAATTGATACGCAATAAAAGGCAAAATGAACGTCTTTTTGTGAGATATTGTTGATTAACGGGACATAAGGCAATGTCGATTCATTTACTTTTAATAGTTTACGAAAAGAAGGTACATGATGATTACTGATAAATATAGTTTTCATTCGTGTATTGTTGAAATCTATTTAAACCTTGCTCTTAACAATCTATAGATTGATACAATGATCAATGTTTTGACCAAAAAACTGACAGAGTAACCAATTCCATATGCCTGTGCCTTGTACCCACAAGCTATTGATTATTAGGTAATTGATATACTTATAATTCCACAAAAAACTCACGTGACTAAGGCCAAGTTTGGCATGTCTTGAAAAAGACAAAAAGTTAAAAAGTCATTATCTTATTTAAGTCGCATCATCTTATTTAAGTCACATCACCTCTCTAACACATCATTTCAAACCCGACCCAAACCCAACCCATATTTCATAAAAAGTCAAAAAGTGCACTTATTTAGATCATCCCAAACAACCCCTAACATTTCCCCTCCAGACAAACTAAATATCAACTTCTAAATTCCTAATGATTTTGTTGTTTTCTGCCACTACAAGTACAAACTGACATTGTTGCATTTTTCTCAAGTCTGTTGTTCCACTCATTTGTTGCTTTATTTTTAGAAATAATAACTTATTAGTTGATATTCTTAGTTTGAAAACTTTGATTTTGCAATTATATATGTTTTTAGTTTTCCGAGGAGGAAAACCTTTACATGTTACATGCATATGATGGACCATAGAATGCTTCCCTGATTCTTATTCTGTTAGACCTTTAAATGACGCAATTAGTTATGCATTTCAGGTTGTTAATCAGAAGGACGGATATGGGCTTGCAGCAGATATATGGAGTCTTGGATGCACTGTGTTAGAGATGTTAACCCGTGAAATTCCTTACTCTCACTTGGAAGGGGTATGATGATATCTACTTTGAATTCACCATTCATTTTTATGTTGTACTAGTTTTGGTTTCTTGTACATTCTAAATAAAAGAAGTCCAAGAAATTGGAATGTTGTTCACAGCTGTTGTTTTGCGACATTGCTTGTGACGCTTGATGAGCAAATGATATGATTGGTTAAATAAGATAGATTCAGCCCTTACTGCTTAAATTATGATCCTGCAATGTCATTATTAGTTCCTTTTGATTTGAGTTAACTAACCATCAACATCAATATGAATTTAAAAAAACATTATCCATGTAGATACCCTTAAAAGGTGTTGTGTTCTCGTTGGATGTTGAACAGTGACACTTGTCACACTCGGTGGACATGTCTGGCACGTATAGGACACGCTCATGTCTTATTACCTCTTTGCTCTTTTTAGAACCTATTACTCTTTAGACACTTGGGGGACACATGTGCATCGCTTTGATAAACTTCAAACACATTGCAAGGTTAAAGAAATATAACTTGGGAGTCAATGATTAAAATGAAAATAATGTGAATTTATACCTATTAATATCGCCGCCTCTAGGTTTTTAAATTTTAAGGACTCCAAAGACTTGAACTTCCAATTTGTTTGGAAATAAAATTTTTTAAAATAGATAGTAGTAATGTTGATTCAAACTTTTTTTTTGAACATATACAACGTGGAAATTGATTTCTAACTATTTTGAAAAAAAAAAGATTTTTTTTTAATTTTATATTTCATATGTATATATGAAAGTATAGATTTATTTGTTTTTGTGTTCCCGTTGTGTTCTTGTCTTGACTTTAAGATTTCCATTTCCATGTCCATGTCATGTTTTATTTGTGTTGGTATTCACGCCTCTTAGTTGATAGTACCCTTGATCATATATCCAGCCAGCAGCTTTGATGATTATTGTTTTAACAATTTGTAGGATTAGCTGTTTCTTTTTCCGTTGTTTGAATTCTGAAACTGTAAGACGTAAAATCTATCACCGTTCCTTTCATCTTAGATCTCTTTATTATTTTTGTATTTGGTTATTGACATTTATCATTATTATAAAGTTTTTTGTGTTTCTTTATTATTTTTCTTTTTGTAGTTGCTAACCATATTAAAGTAAATTTGTGTTTTGTTTTTGTTTTCCATTTTAACAAATCCGAAGAGCACAGCAGAGTCTTTGATTTAGCAGAGCACAGCCCAACTGTGATTAGATTGTATCTTTGATTTCTTGCTTAGACTCTGCAAGAACTGCTCTCTTATGGTAAATAAATCAATTGTGTATCAAGAAAATAGAAATGCTATGTGTATCAATTGTATGTCATCATAACAAGTTATGGATGTAGCAGATTTTTTGGTTAATACAAAACTATGTTTACTTATATCTGGGGGTCTACCTTAAAATGCAACAATGAACCAAGTAATACTACTTGAAAGCAATGAAAGGAGTGCTACTGAATCGGAATTAGAAAATCCAGGTGAAATCACTGTAGTGTTTTGCACATTCATAATGCCCAATAGCTGCTAGTGCAATTCAGGGAATGCATGATTTTTCTGGAATCACAAGGACAGAATGCTTTCCTATGAGGTAGATAAAGAAAGTATATAGTGACAAATCAGAAAGCATGCTTTGTACTATTTTTAGTTGTGTACTCTTGAGTTAAGTAGTGACAGTTCAAAGACTCTGCTTTGTATTATATTTGATTTTGTACCTTCAGCTTTTCTATAATTGTATTTTTTTCCTGCTTCAGCAAGATATTTCAGTTCTCTTCATGTGTCCGTAGTTTGGGCTGCCTTTATATGCCATTTTGATACCATTCATTTCTTAAATCACTGATAGCATGTGTCCATCTTTTAGACTTGAGTCATTCCACAAAAGCAAGGACAAAAAATATGAATATTAACAAAATGGAAAGAGGATTCTTCACCAAATTTTTTTGTAAGTTTTGAAAATGACATTATTGAAACTTTTTTAAGGACATTGTCTTGTGCTGAAATTCGTCTCAAATGACTTGAAATGTTTTGTTTTGTTTTGGGGTGGGGTTTTTTGTTCTCCTGATGGGACAAAAAATATTTCTTCTTTTAATGGGGGCTGTTTTATTTTGGCAATTTGAATTTGTCTCTGATGTTCAATTGGAAGTTGTAAGGATGTATATTCGTATTTCAGTAAGGAGTTTTAACGATGTATATTCGTATTTGATGACAGATGGCAGCACTGTTTAGAATTGGCAAGGGTGAACCTCCTCCTATTCCTAATTCGTTATCAAGCGATGCCCAAGATTTTATCTTCAGGTGCTTGAAAGTTAACCCGAATTATCGGCCTACTGCTGCTGAACTATTGAACCATGCATTCGTGAAGAGGCCACTGTCAACTTTCTTAAGCCCTGCATCTCCCTACTACAATGGCACAAGGGCTTAAAAACTTTGATCAACCTTTGGCGATTGAAGATGTAAGATTTTGAGGTAAAAACATTCATTTTGCTTTAGTTTCACACTGTTTCGCATTCTTTGTCCTGCCATTTAAATTTGTTTTTAACATAGTAGTTCTTGTCAATTATTTATTTATTTTTTTTTTCTAATTACTTGTATTTTACTATGCAGGCGTCGTCTATATGGAAACACAAATGTGGTCAGGCATGTTGTTAGCATCCGTGGGATATTTGATCAGCTCAACTGATTTTGTATAAACGAGCAGTTCTTACAATGTTAAACATCACACTTTCATTGTTGTCTACTTGACATGGAATTTCAATTTTTTTTCTCTTTCTTTTGTTCTTTTCTTGTCCTTTTTCCATATTTTTTTCAGCAATAGTGTTCTTGTTTGTTATGAGTACTTGTATATATTTGATCAACACTGTATATGAGTTATCCAAAGCCAAAGTAAGTGTTGCCAATTGAGCTGGTACATGTTCTCCGTTTCATGCATGACTACCAAAAATCATCTATTTCATAATTTTGATTATGCTTATTGTTCTGTGATTTTCGGCCGCAATTGGAACAGATTTAAATGTTGTTCTCCGAGGCAGAGACTTTAGGATAGGTGTCATGGTCTGAGATTTGTGGGCCAGCCTATGCACAAACACAACCTCGTGTGGCACATGCCAAGTCCTGCTAGCAAATCCACCAGTATTTTCGTTTCCCTGTTAACATTTATGGCTCGACATGTTTGAAATCTTGTTGAATTGCATAAGCATGACAATAATAGAACTATGATAATCAAACAATTTAATCAGACTAACTGTAGTCCTACTCAGAGCAGACTCAAGTTAAATTGAGATTTTAAACCAGTCCTGTTCATGTTGAAATGCGGATTTTTTGAGTCCTCAAAAAAATATGCAGATTTTTTACCATGTCCTTTGGCCAATTAGATGAAAAAATTGTCCATTTTCACGTACATATTGTTCATTGCTATCAAGTCATCATAATCATAAATGAAAATATTCAAAATTACATTTTCCTACAACGTCCAACAAGAAATCAGTGTCTAGAGAAAAATCAAATTCAGATTAAAATTTGGCAATGCTTTAGGCATGAATCAATGTCCTTACATTGCCAGCTAGTGAAGACCAGATACATGGGATTTTTCTATGTTACAAAAACATATAGTTGTTGGGTACCATATCCAAAATTAACTTCTATTCTAACTGTTAGATTTGGATAAGGAAAAAAAATACAATATTTAATTTATAATTATTAAAATCGGATACAAAAAATGAGGAAAACTTACCATTTACCAGACAATATGATTGCATATTCTTACCACATAATGTGACTTAGGATTGAACTAACCTACTTACCATACAACGTGACTTTACTAAATTTTTTTTTCCGAGTATGGTACTCAAAACCACTAATTTTGTATCATAATTAAACCCGAACATATAGTTAAGCTTTTCAGAGCCAACCAGCATAGCAGCATGACATCTCATGTTTTAATAGGGTAGCCCTAGCTTCATTACAAAGCCACCCTCTCAAAATGAACCAGAGTCATTAAACTGCTAGTGACAAAAGAATCATATAGATATTAAAATCAGTCTTATCTCCATAAGATAATTAAAAGCCACAAGCTGCGACGAAGTCAACATAAAAGAAAATACAAGCTTGTCTTCTATTTTGCTAAATAAATAAAAATTACTGGTAGGATTTTAAGCAAGGCAAAAGAAGAGAGATGTAGACACAAATTTCACCTACCCATTGGAAAAACTATACGTCAGCCGATTGTGTCAAATTGTGCTTTCAAGGAACCCTTGTACATATCTGACACAGATTCAACCGTTTCAGAGAGAGCACTCTTCATCTCTAAAATTTTTGATGCCATATACTCTTTGTATTTTGAAACTGAATCAACCAATTGGAAGAGTTCTTGAGCACACATCTGGGTTTCTTCTTCATCTTGTATGATTGCTTCCTGCAACTTCTGTTCGGAACCCTTCAGGAAAACATATAAAAGTTTATCAGAATGTGATGGATGAACTGTATATTTGACTTTGTAAACTATCTACTTTGAAAAGTTCATTTGCACTTGGATTATCCAGCTTTATACAGAACCTTAACCGTCTAAACAAGGGAAAAAAACAGGGCCATACCTCCGAAAACACTGCTGCTTCTCTTTCAACAATATCCAGCTTGTGAGTGTCTGCTTCAACATCCCCTAAAATCTTTTTAGCTTCTGCTACACATCTTGAAGTATAGTCCTGCGTTTCCTTCTTCAATAAGTTCAATTGAGCTTCCACCTGACAAATTGATCATCAATGCAATGAAGGATCAACCTCAGACAACACTTCAAAATTGGATTTTGTTGGGCACATGTTCATAGGCTTGGCCATGTTTCGGAAGTTGGCTCTTTTAGTAGGCTATTTTAATTTTTGACTATTTTAGTTAGCTAAAATTTGTGTTTGGAAAGATGAGAGGATTTTTTTTGTAGTTGGATATGATGTTTGTGAGAAAAAAAGTAAAATGAGTATGGATTTGATGTGACATTTTGTCTTATTGGCTATTTTAGTCTATTTTGTCTTTTTGTGAACTTTTAAAAAGCCAAATTTTAGCCTTTTCCAAACAAGGCCTTAAAAAGATTGTACATTTTGAACGAAAATGCGTGTAATAAATAATGTACTATCTTTTTAAGCATTCTTAACACGTGCCTAAGGGAAAATATAAACAAGACTTTTCAAAAATATATCCCAAGCACAAACATTAGAAAATTACAAATAGACGGGCAATGGTTACACGAATTTATGCTTTAAAATCTAGTGAGATGCCTTGCCAATAAGTACTAAATAATGGTTTCATGACACAAATGGCTGAGGTGTCTCAACAAAGTTGAGAGTGACTGAGAGATTGTAGGCAATTCCTTAATTTAAGAGTACAAAGAGATGGGAATGGTCGCAAAGTTCATTCAGGATTTCAAATTTACCAGGTTCTTCTAAGATTTCTTTCCAAAAATAGTTCAAAATGTGAGTCTATGAATTGCAACGCCCTATGGAGGCCATTCAAAAGGAATAAAGTTTGTGTAAATTCAAAAACTAATCATTCAAGGAAAGAAATAACATGAAGAAAATGGTTGATTAACGTGACCTTTGACATACAATGGCATTGGTGAAGTCAAGGTTTGATCAAGTTCAACCACATGTTTGCCAGTGAAGAGATGTGATACAGTAACGGTAGATGAAAATGTTAGGGGACCGGAAAAGGCCTAGATTAATGTTGGCTAGTGTTGCAAATAGAGATATGGATCTACTTAATTTGACTAACAAAATGACCCTTGATAGAGCCGCGTGGAGGAGGATTCATGTAGCCGACCTCATTTGATGGGACTTAAGGCTTGGTTTGGTTTGGCCAATATTTTCATACCCATGTTTTTTCATAGAAAAAAAAAAGAAAAAAAGAAAAGAAAAAAACTGTTACGTAATTTTCCATTGTGCCAATATTTTCATGCCCAGGTTTTCATAGAACATAAATGGAAAAAAGTTTATGACACATTTGATGGCATTTTTTTTGCTACTTCAAGAAACATCAGACATATGATACTGAGGTTCAAACCACAGCCAGATGAGTTGGGGTGCAGCGCTTCCCTACCACTGGGCAATCCCCATGTGCTCCACTTCGATGACATTAAAGTATGTAAAAGCACAAGTATTGGGAACTATGCAGAAATGCATCATTCATTTTATCTATCATATAAATAATGATGTGAAGACCCATTTGCACTGCACTTACTTCATCAATCCGGGACTGAAGTGCTGTTATACGGTTCTTTTTTTGCTCAATCTTTGCAGCAGTTTCAACTGATTGTTGCTGAAGAGATATCAACTCCTCCAACTTTGCCATTGAGCTTTTCTTTATGTCATCAGCAAAGGAGGTAAGTGCAGGCTTAACTGTTGATTTGTAGTCAATCCCTAGCACCTCGGCAGGTGTGGATCCTTTGCCACTCAACACATACTGGAAACCATTTCCAAGCTTTAACCTGGAAATCTCCAATGAAGAAATCAACTTGTCAGATTCATTAATGATCGTACTTGGGGAGAATTACATGAAGTGGCAAGCGTATCTTAATGTAACAAATTGCAAACAACAGGAAAATATTGCTTCTGTCATGGATATTGGATTTTCTCACTATTAAAACATCCTCCAAAGGAAATGATATGCCTAATCTTTGCACAAAAATGACTAGAAATGATAGTTAGTTTTTCTTTTCTTTCAAACTAACAATATGACCAAAAATGATTGTTGAGTTTGGTATGACCCATTAGTTTCCAGATATCAAATAAGAGGCATAGCCAAAACAGAAGCTACCGTGACTCAAATACATGCGTAGGAAATAATGCCTGAAAACAATTCTTTCTTTCTTTTATTCTTTGCTCAAATGTTTAAAATTAATCAAAACTACAGAAAATGCAATCTAAATTCTCCGTAAGATCGTACACTGAATATGTTATTTGACTTTAACCTTGAGTTGGCTTCTTTATAACTGTAGATGTTGACTGACAGATAACCAAAAAATAAACCTTTAAACATATGTTGCACATATACTTGCAACAACTTTTTTTTGTCAAACTTCACTCATTACTCATACTCTTTTTCACATAGTTCTAACTTCTATTCTATTAATTAATGATATAAATAACAAAACTTGATCATATATATGCCTAAACAGAAAAGGAAAAAAAATGTCAGCAACCATAAGAAAGAACTACAAATACCACCAAATATGCATGTATTCTTATTGTTAATAATAATTGCAGTTCATTTAAAAACATATTGAACCAAAACAATAGTCTATATGAAGAAGAAAAAACAAAACCTCTTGATGGCTTGGTTGCACTCAATTGAAAGGGCCTCAAGCTCCTTAAACTTGTGCCCAATTGTCGCATCAAGATCCCAACACTTCTCCTCCCACGTGTTCCTTGCAACCTCAGCTTCCCCGATATCTCTCTCCACGGCCTGCAACTCCCTCTTCATCCTCTCCGCATCCCTCGCATTAATCCCCTGCAAATCAACCCTCTTCTTCAACTCCTCATTCTCCTCACAAATCTTCTTGTTCTCCCCAACCTTCGCTTCCAATTCCTTCTCTTTCTCCTCCAAAACCTTCTCAACCGTCGTAATATGCCCATTCAACTGCTCGATCATCGAGTGGAACTTCTTCACATCCTCCTCCAACACACACTTCTCCTTCTCAAGCAATTCCTTCGCAGACGGCTCAGTCCTCAAACTCTCCAATTTCGCCTCCAATTCCCTAACATTCGCCTCCACCAACTTCAAACTCTCCTCCACCGACTCCCTCTCGTACTGCAACTTCTCCATAAACTCCCGATCAAGCATTTCCATGGAATCATCATCGCCTTGAATAAAATGCAAATAACTATTCATAGTATAAATAAACATACTATTATCTTCGAAAATCGATCGCACTTGTGACGAATCGTTCAAATGATCGTTATACATTGCGACTTGAACAAGCCAGTGAATTACAGCGAGGAGATTGGGCCATGAGTGAGGAGTACCAGGGGCTCTGAGAGCGGACTTGTTGAGTTTAATCGGACAATTGAGGTGCTTGAGAACTACGTAGAGATCTTCTTCGAGTTTATTCGAAGGGAATTCGAGGCGAGAGATGACGAATTTTAGGGTTTCGGTGATGTCTTTGGCGGATGGGAGAGGGGGTTTGAGGGAGATTTGGGAGGAGTGAGAGGAAAGGTAGGAGTTGATGGTTCGGAGGGCGGAGAGTTGGTAGCTGCGGTCGGTGATTGGGACGGAGGCGGAGCGATTGATGCTGCTGCAAAAGCTGGCGTCGGAGTCGCGACTGGTGGTGGTAGCGCCGCCATGGAACTGCCATGGATCGGCGGCGGTGGGGGTGGGTGGTGGTGGTGGTTTCCGGTCCGGTGCGAAGGAGTCCTTCAGACGGCGGCGCCCGGTTCCGGCAGCCCTCATTTTTGGAGATTGTGATGGGGTCCTCTCTCTGCACTAAAATTTCCCGCCTGTTTTCTGGTGACGATTTTTTGGGGTTACCCTCGCTCTTTTCAAAATAGTTTCCCAAACCACCAAAATTTTGAAATATTTCCCAAGCCATTCAGGTTCCGTTTGACAAGTTGATTTGCGACTATTTTAGGCCAAGTTTGGAAAGATTAGATAAGTGTACTTTTTGATTTTTTATGAAATATGGGTTGGATTTGGGTTGGGTTTGAAGTGATGTGTTAGAGAGGTGATGTGACTTAAATAAGATGATATGACTTAAATAGGATAGTGACTTTTTGACTTTTTGAATTTTTTTGAGGATGCCAAACTTGGCCTTAGTCTAAAAAAAATAAAATAAATTATTTTAGTCATAATAAATAAAATATCACATTAAATTCATAATTATTTCATTATTATTTCACAAAAATAGTCAAAAAAATTCAAAAAATTCTTTCCAAACCAAACTTTTTAGCCCAAATTAAAATAGTCAAAAAAAACAAAAAAAAGTCAAAAAACAAGTCCATTTCCTAAACAGAGGCTAGTCTTTTTTGAATTTGTTTATTTATTTATTTTTTTTGTAAGTTGAGTTTTTTATTTTTTATATTTTTTGTTTTAGTAAAATTTTTCAAAATTTTAAATAATCTTTTTACTTTTTTAGATGTATCTAAAAAATAAAATATTTATAAAAAATCAATAAATATATAAAAATACAAAAAATATATTAAATTCTTATATTTCTTTTGGTATTTAGTAAGTTTTCTAAATATTTTTTCACGAATGTCATATTTTTTAAGTATATTTTATGTTACATATATCTAAAAATTAAAAACAAAAATGTTTTGAATATTATAAAAATTCAGTGAGAACAAAAAAATATGAAAAAATTGCTTGGTTAGGTTTTGCAAAAAAACACTTTCTTTAGAAAATTCTATTTTCTTGTTTTTTTTGTTTGTACTGATTTTTTTTAATATTTTAAGCTTTTTTTTTTTACTTTTAAGACATAGCTAACATAAATATATCCAAAAAATAAAAAAATTTGTAAAAAAAACCTTTTAAAAATTCACTAAATACCAAAAAAATACGATAATTCAGTACATTTTTTTTTAATTTTTTAAAAATATCTTTTAACAAATTTTTTACTTTTTATATACATCTAAGTAAGGTAAATCTAAAAAAGTAAAAAAAAATATTTAAAATTTTAAAAATATTCACTAAAAAAAAAATTAGAAAACCAAAAAATTCAATTTTTAAAAAATTTAATCCAAAAAATTAAAACCAAACATACCGAATACTTTTTTAAAATGTATAAAAGAAAAGTGTATTTTTGACTTTTTTTAGTTTTTTTTTTTAAATATGTACAAAAATAAAGAGATGATGTGATGAAAATATATTAAAAGTTATAAAATTATTTTATACCCACTTGCCAAAACAAACCTTATCCTAAACAAACTGAGCTCTTATGTTTAGTCATTTTTTTCTCTCACTTTGGTAATTTATATTTTAAGTTTTTATTAATTTACTCTAAAAATTAATTTGTATTTAAAATTAGACAAAAATGACATGTTAACAACCATGTAACATACCAAAAAAAATAAAAAATAAAAAAATGATTATATAACCCATAAATTTGACACAAACTTAAATTTTAATAAAATATATTTTATATCATGTGGTAGTTAACATGCCATTTTTTATTTTGAATATAAGTACGTTTTAGAAGTCAATTTTTTGAAAATGATTGTATTTTTTGACTTTTTTAGATCATGTTATCTCTCAATTTTTTTACACATTTTTTTTTTTAAAAAGTAAAAACCTCATTCATTAAGGGGTTGTTTGGGGTGTCCTAAATAAGTGCACTTTTTGTCTTTTTAGACTAAAAAGTTGAGGTTGAAAATATGAATGTTTGGGTTAACTTGTTGACTTTTTATGAAAAAATGTGTAATAAAAAATTGTAAAAATTAGTTTGTGAGGGAAAATTAGAATTGGGAGTTGTGCAGCCGTAATTGTTGACTTTTGGTGAATAGTAATAACTTTTTGACTTTTTAAATAACTTTTTGACTTTTTGGGATGTTCCTAAACTTGGCCTAAAATACATGTAAATCCAGCCAAACAACGAAGTTTGGTTTCTTAAAAACCTCATTCATTAAATGGTGACTTAATGGTAAGTTACCGCTTGTGTAGATTCTGATTAACTTAGTTTCTTAAATAGAATGTAGATTTTTATTTCATTTAATAATATTGTAACTTGCCCTTCTAAAAAAGACAATAGTTTATAGGGCTTTTTTTTTTAAGGTCCCTGGTATTAACATTTTATAGCATAAAAGACACCAAATATTTTCATCATGTCTAAGGTCCCTCAAGTTGTTCCAGAGAAAATTTGTCCAGAGAAAATTGGTCCAGAGAAAATTAGTCCAGAGAAAATTCACATCACAGAGAAATTTGGTTCAGAGAAATTCTGACTTTCCAGAGAAATTTTACAAATTTCTCTGATTTGAGAAAGGAAGGGAACATTAGAAAATTGATCCAAATAAAATTTCAAATACATGCACTTACATCCGTTGTGGTTCAAGGTAAAGCACAGAGATCAGCAACAACCCTTCCCAATATCAGCAACAACCCACATTCTCTCTCTCTCAAGTCTCGGAATGTGTTTTAAACAAATTTTTCTGACTTCTGAATTTATCTCCAGAGAAATTCTGAATTTCTCTCCAGAGAAATTCTGAATTTCTCTAAAACTGATATTGATGTTTGCAGATTCATCCACCAAATTTCTCTGGACATAAATTGATGACCAACCTCGTGGAAGCAGGTGTAGGTTGCAGAAAATGCAATCTAAAATGCAGATTGGCATCTTAACCGAACCCAAACAAAAACCATGATCCCCAAATGCATTGTTTGCTTACCAAGAAAATGCATCAACAAAACAGAAGAAAATAATAGGCATGATGAATCTCCAATTTCAGTAATAAAACCCAAAGAAACAGAGACATTTCACCTTCACTAATCCTAATCACTTTTTTTTTTTTTTGGTTGAAGTAAACATAAACACATAACAAAAATTATACTTTATTTTCTTACATCATATGTTTCTCAAGAAACAAACAGTGGTACAATACCAATTTTCCAATCACTTTGCCTTAAAAAATGTCTTCTACAAACCCACCAATTTCAAATAATTCAGACTCTGACTACACCTCTTCGATTCAATGTACACATATACAAAACAAATTTTTTTTTATTGGATTTAAGAAACATAAAATGGAATTACCCGAGTCGCATGGAACTGTAATTTGAAAACAAATTTGATCTTGTTCTTCTCGCTCCTCCATAGCGCCGACTTGAACATCTTCTCCTTTAAGCCTCAATTTCACATCGTCTTCCTCGAAATTAGGGTTCACCGGAGTTCTGCCGGAAAACCTCTGTAACTTCGGAGCTCCGGCGACGCCTAAATCACCATTTTCACCGTGAGTTTGCTGGTAGGTGAGGCGCTTGATGACACAGTCGAGGTTGAGGCGGTAGCCGCCGGATGGAAGGAATTGAGATTGGCGGAGGTCGTCCTCGTAGACGGCGAGAATGAGGCGACAGATACGGGGACTTCCTCGAACTCCTGAGAATAGAGAAGTTTAGAGAGAGAGAGAGATGAGTTTTGATTTGGTAAGGTCAAATTTCTCTGATATATGTTTAGGGACCTTAGATATCAAAAAATAATTTTGTGGATCTCTTCCATTACGAAAAATGGAAGAGGGACCCTAAACCGATTTTCCCTAGTTTATAACTACTATATTGTCATTATAAGCTCTATAACTTTTGTTATATTTAATTTAAATAAAGATTTATATCATAAATCTTTAATCACCATTGATAATATAAAAAGAATAACTCCATTCCATATGCGAAATGGCGAGAATTTAGATTCGAGTTGTATAATAGCCTGGCCCTATTTATTAATACAAAAAATATTAGAGATTTATAATTTAAATTTATAAAATAATTATGATAAAAGAGGTTTTTTTTTTTTGTTTATATTTTTTTATCAAATGTGATAAAAGAGTTGAATCCTATATATTTAAATGTGTGTGAATCAAATAAAAATAATTTTGAGCGAATTATACTAATAATCTTTATAATTTGAGACTCGTATTATTTTGATCCTTAACTTTTTAATTGTGACACATTTGATCATGGATTTTGAATCTTATTCCAAATAAAGACAACTGAAGATACTATTACTCAATTTCAAGGGTAAAGTCGTAAATTTGATAAAATATAAATTAATTTGACAAAAATAAATGTCAAATTTTTTAAAAAAATTATTTCTACTCACCAAAGATAAAATTATGTAAAATTTTTACTCATTTATTTATTTACCAAATTAATTTTTATTATGTGTTTGTATGATAATCATGTAATGTGTGGTTATTAGGCTTTTAATGTGTAATCAATATATTTAGTGTATGAAATGTTTTTAATTTTGGATTTTTTGATTTAATGAATTGATTTAATAATGATATTAAAGTTGTCGCTAAATTTGAGTTTTGAAAAAATAGAAACTAATTAAATGAAAAAAAAAACTAACTATTCATTACATGACCGTCATCTAAATACATAATAAAAACTAATTTGGTAATAAATAAATGTGTAAAAGATTTATCAATTGTACATAATTTTTATCTTTGGTAGGTAGAAATAATTTTTGAAGATTTAAAAATATTTTTATCTTTGGTAGGTAGAAATAATGATATTAAAGTTCACTAAAATGAAGGCGAATTGGAATAGAATGATCATTCATTTTATTTCCTTATTGAATGACCATCCTTTTACAATATTGAATGATAATTCCATTTGTAATGTATTTTTTATTATTTTTTTATGTTGTGTTTTGAAACATGAATTTAGATAGAAATTTGAAAAAGAAAAGCAAAAGGTAAGAGAAATCTAAATGACATATAAGCTAATTTTTTACCTTAAATGACATATAAGGTAATGGACATCTAAATGACAAAAGGTAAGGGAAATCTCTTACCTAAAAAAAAGAAAAAAAGAAAAAAAACAGCAATACTCAATTTTTTAATTTTGGTTTTTTTGATTTAATGAATTGGTTTAATAATGATATTAAATTTGTCGTCAAATTTGAGTTTTGAAAAAATAGAAACTAATTTAATAAAAATAAAAATAACTATTCATTACATGACCGTTATCTAAATACATAATAAAAACTAATTTGGTAATAAATAAATGTGTAAAAGATTTATCAATTGTACATAATTTTTATCTTTGGTAGAGAGAAATAATTTTTGAAGATTTAAAAATATTTTTATCTTTGATAGGTAAAAATAATGATATTAAAGTTCACTAAAATGAAGGCGAATTGGAATAGAATGATCATTCATTTTGTTTCTTTATTGAATGACCATCATTTTATAATATTAAATGATAATTCCATTTGTAATGTATTTTTTATTATTTTTTTATGTTGTGTTTTGAAACATAAATTTAGATAGAAATTTGAAAAAGAAAAGCAAAAGAAAAGCAAAAGGTAAGAGAAATCTAAATGACATATAAGCTAATTTTTTACCTTAAATGACATATAAGGTAAGGGAAATCTAAATGACAAAAGGTAAGGAAATCTCTTACCTAAGAGAAAGAGAAAAAAAAAAAAAACAGCAATACTCAAATTTTTAATTTTGATTTTTTTGATTTAATGAGTTACTTTAATAATGATATTAAATTTACCGTCAAATTTGAGTTTTAAAAAATAAAAACTAATTTAATAAAAATAAAAGTAACTATTCATTACATGACCGTTATCTAAATACATAATAAAAACTAATTTCATAATAAATAAATGTATAAAAAAATTATCAATTGAGAGAATGTTTGGGTTTACTGATTTAATTTAAAATTTGTAACATTATTGCATTCCACTCCCTATTTTTGATTTAATGAGTTACTTTAATAATGATATTAAATTTATCGTCAAATTTGAATTTTGAAAAATAAAAACTAATTTAATAAAAATAAAAATAACTATTCATGACCGTTATCTAAATACATAATAAAAACTAATTTCATAATAAATAAATGTATAAAAAAATTATCAATTGAGAGAATGTTTGGGTTTACTGATTTAATTTAAAATTTGTAACATTATTGCATTCCACTCCCTAAAATACCCTCAATTATACAAATAAACAACCCCCATAATCATTCTCATCCCCACTCTGCAACAGCACAAAGAAAGAAAGAAAATCAAGAATGAAAAATCTCTTCTACCAATTCATCATCCTCTCAGACCAATACTTTGATCCTTCCACCATTGAATAACACACCATTGAAGACCAATACTTTGATTATGCTTCCCAATTTGAATATATGGTTTTTAATACATCGTAATCACGAAACCCTATAAATATGGATGTCATTCGTCACTGCAATCACATACCCACAATCACATACCCACAATACTCACACAAGGAATTTACTATCATGGATGGTCGAAACTTTAATGACGGGGTAGGAGGGGTGGTCGTCCCGCTGGTCGGGTTACAGAGCCATCAGAGCCATTGATCCAGCGCCGCCCGAAACGTCGAGAAAGCGGCGGAGGCCGGCTGATGGAGACGACAGCGAGCGGCCGAAGAAGAGGAGGAAGATCGATGGATGAGTAGACTCCAGACCTGTTGCCGTGGTGCGCCGAAAGTAGATCCATGGACTTGATCTCTTCTTGATCTTAGTCTTTTTTATATATAATTTATCCTTATTTCAGCATTTTTAAGTTTGATTTCCTATGAACTGAGGTATCTCTCTCCTCCTCCTCCTTCTTCTTCTTCTTCTTCTTCTTAACTGGTTTTTTTTTTTTTTTTTTTGTTCCAGTTCTAAACTTCTAAATCTAATCTTTTGAGTCTAATCTATTATTATTATTTTGTTTTGTTCCAGTTCTAAACACAGAGAAATGTTCTTCTGTGCTATATGTTTGATGTGCGTGTATTTTTTACACAGGTTGAGCCTGCAAAAAAGACACAAAATGGCAAGCAACAGTCAATAGGGAAGATTATCCACAAAGGTATGAAATGGCAGTAATGAGTTTCTTCTTTATGGCTCTTTATGGGAGCTAATTTGCAATGTGTCTTATAGGCACTGATAGTGGTAATAAAAGAGCTTCTGGCTCTGCCAATGTTAATCTGCCGTTGAACTTAGAGACCTCCAAATGTGGTTTATGTGGTAGTATGAGACGCCAATGCAGCCTTCAAAGTGATTATGCTCGTGCATCTTCAAGTGTTTAGTTGATTTTTTCTAATGCTACTTCTCTAGTCAAGTTTCTAGTTGTCAACCGACTCATTCAAATGTGTTTTGGTTCAGATTTGTCTTCAGAAATATCACTAGAACAAAACCATCATGATGCTTCCTGTACATATTAACAATGTTCTTGTTTTTGTCATGAATTTCTGTTGTTATCATTTGTCTACTGTGCAAAATTTAGTTAAAATCTTTGTATATAAATTCAGGACTGTGAGGCAAAGTCGGCATCCCAGATGAGCAAATCAGATCTGGACTCTGATGGATTGTTTTCTGCCTTGTATTGTGTCATATTTGTCAGTTGTTAATTGATCATCTAAATATCGACATGCTTTTTGATCATCTAAATAAGGCCTTGTATAAATACTTGGATATCATTGAAGGCTTGACTACTCTGTTTCAATCACTTTGTAATTAGAATTCTCAATTATAAACTTGTTTCAATCGGTTGGACTATTTTCCCTTATTGATTTGTTTGATTACTGAGAGGACATATCCAAAGAAATTAAACTAGTTTTTTTTCCCCTTTGATTGAGTTGATAAAAAGACATTTAAATTTTATAGTTTTATTATTTTACATGGTTTATGATTTAGTAAAATTAGTAAAATTTGTGGTATCATACACATGGAGTGCTGTAGACAAAATTGTCATTTAAATTTTACTTACTGCTATTGACTGTATCTTAATGCTTCGTCTTGCTCATGTTTTGAAAGGTTTTGAACTTGGTATGGGCTTTTCTCTATTCAAACTAATTACTTTATGCATGTTGTAACTTTTATCTTGGAAAAGGCCTGGTGTACTTGTTTTATTTGAAAGTACGTATCTTTTTATTAGAAGTTAATTCATGGATTGCTGCTGTTTAAACTTACAGGTGGTTTCTAGGTTATACTTGCTGTGATGCTTGTGGAAGGTTGTTTGTAAAGGGAAACTACTGCCCTGTTTGTTTAAAGGTATCACTTGTTTTTTGATGATCTTGAATCTTTCAGCTTCTGTTAGTTTATTGAGTGGTGAACTTTTATACTGACCTTTGGTTGTGAATATTTTAATGGTATGTGCAAATGTTTAGACGTGAGTTTTCTCTTGAATTTGTAGCCATCTCTCTCTCTCTCTCTGTGTGGACTGGAAACTTTGATATCCTTTGCACCTGATTGCATAGAAGTTGACTAACTGTTTGCATCCATGGCTCTAGGTTTACAGAGATTCTGAATCAACACCTATGGTTTGCTGTGATGTTTGCCAGCGCTGGGTCCACTGTCAGTGTGATGGGATCAGGTATCTTTTACTTGTCCTTGAAAACCACAGCGTTTAGTTGTGACACAAGTGTGGTTGCTATTTCATTGTTTTGATTGTGTTGATAATTATGCACAGTAGGAAATTATATTCTTCAATGTTTTGTTTGAAGTTGTCATAAATAAACGAATTTGGAAGTATAATCACCTTGAAGTAGATTACTAGATATTGAAGACTTTCTATTTCTTCTTCTATATCTCATAAGAGGTACCTTAAGAAGACTCCTCTTTAAGTCCTAAAAGAGATACATATGAACAACATAAAGAAGAAAACAACAGCTTCTGTGAGGTATAACTATTTCATGAGATATTCACCTTGGATGGTTGGATCTTGCTTTCATAGTAAATTAGACTGCTAAGTTTGTGGACACTAATAGTTCTTCAGTTTAAATCCCATGAAAAGCAACTAGGAAGTGAACATCAATGAAGATCAAGTTTGTTTGAGGTATGCTGTTATATGATATACCATGTATGAGTTAATAATTGGTTATTGATTAGGGTTGTAAACGAACCAAGCAGATTATTGTTACTCTCTGGACAACCTCCATTTGAGAAAAAATTCCAATGTAATGCCATCATTACTGTCCAGGTTGTTTTGTTTTAATGAAAATAATGCCAACAATGTAATTCCAATATAATTCCAGTATAATGCCAACAATGTAAAACAAAACATTTAGTGAAACATTTGTTGCCACATTGTGAAGAATGAAAAAATATTGCATTGTTTAGGGAGGGTTTTTATTTTTTTATATGTTGAAAATTTGTAAAATTTCAAACCGGCAAACCGATTCGTATCCATCCGCCAATCCGCCAAATCCGCATCCGCCAGATTGGCGGACGGATGCGGATTGATTTTCTCTAATCTGCAAATCTGGCGAATGGATGGCAGATTGGAGGTTTCGTGGCCGCAACCGATCCGCGCCCACCCCTCCCTCACTTCACCATCTCCCACATTATAACTCTTCCCCCCCCCTCCTCTCTGCAAACCCACCCGCGCTTTCTCTCTCTAAAATTTCGTTCCCTCCAAACCCTTCCACACAACAAAAAAGAGTAAACACTTAGAAAATTAAATTATAGAGAGAGAAAATCGAGTTTCGATTAGGGCACCGCCATCATCATCGTCTTCATCGATTCTGAAACCTAGCAATGGGGAAAGACGACGATGAGATGAGAGGAGAGATAGAGGAGAGATTGGTAAACGAAGAGTACAAGATTTGGAAGAAGAACACACCGTTCTTGTACGATTTAGTCATCACTCATGCTCTTGAATGGCCTTCTCTCACTGTTGAGTGGCTTCCCGATCGGGAAGAGCCGCCGGGGAAGGACTACTCGGTCCAGAAGATGATTTTGCGGACTCACACATCCGAGAACGAGCCTAATTACCTCATGCTCGCTCAGGTTCAGCTTCCACTCAAAGATGCAGAGAACGATGCCAGACATTACGATGACGATCGGTCTGATTTCGGTGGATTTGGCTGCGCCAATGGCAAGGTACAGTGTGTAATTAATTGTTTGCGTAGCAATTGTTTTTTTGAGTTTTATATTGATGATTTACTTTATGAACTGATGTGAGGAGTGATTGGATTGAGAAATCGAGAAGCTTTATTTGGTCATGTGAAGAATTTGGCAGTTTTAGGGTTTAGGGTTTTCTTGCAAATTAAATTAGTAAGACTGGTTGCTTGGGTAGTTAACTTGATATTTGTATTCAAAAGGTGAAAGATTTAAGTGTTTGACACTCTCTAGGGTGAGCTGATGGGTGAGCAATGTAACCCAAAGCCTAACCTTTTTTAAGGGGAAATTCTGTTAGTAACAATAACATTAATTATTTGGGATAGGGATAAGATTGACGCCCTGTTTGTTTTCAGAGGTAGAATGTAAGGGATTGATAGGGAGGGGATTAAGTAAAATTGCGTTTGTTTTGATGATAGTTGTTAGTCTAAGAATTGTTAAATTATTTTTATATAAAATAATAAAACAAATAAAAAAATTTAAACATTAATGTTCAAAAAAAATTTCTAATATGTAAAAAATAAAAAAATTTCTAATCCTCTCACTATTTTTCTAATACCACCTTTACCTCCTCCATCCCAATCCCCCGTTCAACTTCCATCTTAATTTCCTCCTCCATCCTAATTCCTTCCCCAACTCTATAAACACAATAATAAATAACACTACTTCTATCTTAATTCCCTCCCATCTATTACGCCCCAAAACAAATGGGTGTGTTGAGAAATCTAGGCTGCTTGTCCTGCAAAGTGAGTTGGTCCATTTTTGAAATTGCTCATTTATAAATTATAATTAGATTTGTTTGGCTGCAAAAATAAAACAAACTCTAGAATCTATAAATTGACTTTCTTTATGGAAATTTAGATTTCTTTGTTGCTTTTAAAGCATAGAATTACCTAATATAGACTGGGGAGATTCAAAAATCTATTCTGTTCAATGTCTACATGGGTTTTGAATTACAAAAATGCTAGAGGCCTCAAAAATTCTACCAAAAGTTTTACCAAATGTCTCACATGAGTGTGGGACCTACATGGGACCCACATTGTGTGGGTCCCACACCCATATGAGACATTTGGTAAAACTTTTGGTAGAATATTTGGGGTCTCTAGCATTAGTTAATTCAAAATGAAACTATTCAATTTGTGCCACCAAGCAGAACCTAAAGACCTTTTTCATTTTATGGCTAAATGGTGATATAATTTTATCTTAGGTTCAATTTTTTCTGACTATGGAACTTTGGTATTCAGAACCTCTATATGCTATTTTTGTTTGTACATCTGTCACATGAATGCATGTAAACGTATGTTATATGTACTGATAAGCTATGAAGCTTTTTGAATTTTAATTTTAATTTTAAATATTTTTATTGCAGGTTCAAATAATTCAACAAATCAATCATGATGGAGAAGTTAACCGAGCTCGTTATACGCCCCAAAACCAATTTATTATTGCCACTAAGACGATTAGTGCTGAAGTATATGTTTTTGATTATAGCAAACACCCATCGAAGCCTCCTCTAGATGGTGCATGCAGTCCTGATTTGAGGTTGAGGGGCCACAACACTGAAGGATATGGTTTGTCATGGAGTAAGTTTAAACAGGGTCATTTGTTGAGTGGTTCTGATGATGCCCAAATATGTTTGTGGGACATCAATGCGACTCCTAAGAATAAGGCTCTGGATGCCATGCAAATATTTAAGGTACTTTTCTCTGTTCAAGGTCGACATACTATACTACATCATGTTTAGTTTGCCTCAAACATGTGACACAGTTTACACAGCATTCCTTCAAGGCTACAAGAACTGAAACATCTAGTAAATCGATGCATGCACTGAATAAGATGTGCTAGCTAGGAAAAACAATGTATTTTGTTATCTCGTAGTAATCATAGTACAGAAATAAAATTGTTGATTGGTGATTTATAAAATTTGATATTTGCTGAAACAGGTTCATGAAGGTGTTGTAGAAGATGTAGCATGGCATCTGAGGCATGAATACTTGTTTGGTTCAATTGGGGATGATCAGTATCTGCATATATGGGATCTCCGGACTCCATCAGTCACCAAGCCAATTCAATCTGTAATTGCTCATCAAAGTGAGGTCAGTGTCCAAAGTTTCAGAAGTCTATTGGATGCTTAGATATGCACAGACACATTCATTGAAATGGTTCTACCCATGATACATGTACATAAGTTTGGATGAACTGACACATGGTATAAAAGGTGTAATACTTTCACCCCTTGATGATTTTTTATAGTGTCAAATTTTGAGTAGGGATACCCTTTTCTCCCTCTTTTCATTTTTCCACCCCTTTTACCATTACCAAATGGAGCAAGGTCTGTTAAATATTGCAGCATGGGTAAGCAATTTAACAGAAAATTAAATTTTCTGGTTGGAAATTAAACCTGGCTTGAAAATATTTTGTTTAAATTTGAGGTAACTATGTAAATTCTTTTGAAGAATAAGTACAAGAACTGCAGTTCATGTTTAGTTCATGTTTGGAAAAGGTGTACATGCTATGTGTGCAGTTCTATCCCCTCATGAACAACTTCTAGCCACAGGTGTACATGCTACGTGTGCAGTTCTATCTTATACCCATTACATATATACACGTGTAAATAAAAAGAAATATAATTGAGAAAGTTTAGAGGATGTTGCAACATTAACGAGATATTGTTTGGGAATTATGGGTGAGACATGATTTTGTGGATAAGATTCAGTTTTTTAGTGTTACACAGCCACAGCTTCAAAAAGAGTTATACACCAAATTAACATGTTCACTTTATACAATAGTATATATATACAATAATGGATGGGATGCTGTGGGAAAAATCTTTTGATGACATAACCAACTAGAAAACACAGGAACAAATTCTATGTTTATTCCACTCCCCTTGACGATCTGTCAGACCGTCAACAATGACAAATAGTTTGTGGCCTACTCAATCATTGTACTAGTTTTCTTTTCCAATTATCATTTGTAGACTCAATACTTTTTTCTTTTTGTTATGTAAGCTCCCTAGTTGCAGGGACACTTGTGTTGAGAGGAGATTGTTATCTCTGTAACTCAGATAGATGCTAATTCTGGCATTTGTTAGACGTTACCATTGTTTATCGTTTCTGCTTCGGCTGGATTGACTTGTAGATCTTTATTGCTTTCATACACCTTAAGTGCACCCTTGTTTAGCGTATCTCTGAAATGCAAAATGCTGCTTACATTAGCTTACATGGACAATTTCATGTTGCACTTTTTTTATTATTTTTTTTATATATTTTAAATTTTAATAAATTGGCATATTTAAAGATGTGTGTTATTTCAGTTTCCCCTAATATTAACTTCTTGTGATAATTTATTTTCTTCATGCGTCGGACCGCAAACTATAGAATTACCTAATATAATAATTCCATTTGTAAATTGAATGACATAAGTTTTCTAAGTTTATCAGTACATTTATCAGTACATTACAAATGGAATCTATAAATTGAATCTATAAATTTCTTGTGATAATCTAAGTTTATCAGAAAACCTATTTTTTATTTGATAGTAAATTTCTTTATTTTTTACTAAATTTCTTTATTTGTTTATCAGAAAACCTATTTTCTTGTGATAATAAATTTCTTTATTTTTATTAAATTAGTTTTTATTTTTTCAAAACTCAAATTTGGCGACAAATTTAATATTATTATTAAATCAATTCATTAAATCAAAAAAACCAAAATTAAAAATTGAGTATTGCTGTTTTTTTTTTTTTTTTTTTCTTTTAGGTAAGAGATTTCCCTTACCTTTTGTCATTTAGATTTCCCTTACCTTATAAGTCATTTAAGGTAAAAAATTAGCTTATGTCATTTAGATTTCCCTTACCTTTTGCTTTTCTTTTTCAAATTTCTAGAAGGCCAACTGGATAATCTAATTATGAAGGCGAATTGGAATAGAATGATCATTCATTTTGTTTCCTTATTGAATGACCATCCTTTTACAATATTGAATGATAATTCCACTTGTAATGTATTTTTATTATTTTTTTATGTTGTGTTTTGAAACATGAATTTAGATAGAAATTTGAAAAAGAAAAGCAAAAGATAAGGGAAATCTAAATGACATATAAGCTAATTTTTTACCTTAAATGACATATAAGGTAAGGAAACTCCAAATGACAAAAGGTAAGGGAAATCTCTATAAGGTAAGGGACAGCTAATTTCGTAATACATCGTAATTACGAAACCCTATAAATATGGATGGTCAACATTTGATGGGTTAGATAGAGGGAACTAACCAATTATGTCTTCAGAAGGTACAGGTGGAGCATATTTTATGGTTGATGCATTGGGGAAAAAGTATATATCTGTTTTTAAGCTAGTAGATGAGGAGCCTATGGCTGTGAACAACCTGATTGTTAATCGGAATATTGAAATACCTTTGGTCCTTGAGAATTTGCTTAACTCAACATTTGATAGGTTAGATAGAGGGAACTATCCAATTACGTCTTCAGAAGGTACATGTGGAGCATATTTTATGCTTGATGCATTGGGGAAAAAGTATATATTTGTTTTTAAGCCAGTAGATGAGGAGCCTATGGTTGTGAACAACCCTCGAGGGCTGCCTATTTCAGTGGATGGGGAAGGACTAAAGAAGGGAACAAGAGTCGGGGAAGGTGCATTGAGGGAAGTTGCTGCCTACATTTTAGATCATCCAAAGAATGGGCGCCGCTTTATTTGTGGGGAGGATAAGGGATTTGCTGGGGTCCCACCTACAATGATGGTCAAGTGCTTGCACAATGGATTTAATCATCCAGATGGTTTAACTGTCAAGATTGGGTCTTTGCAGATGTTCATGGAGAACCATGGAAGTTGTGAGGACATGGGTTCTAGTGCTTTCCCAGTGGAGGAGGCACATAAAATCTCTGTGTTGGATATAAGGATGGCAAATGCAGATAGGCATGCTGGGAACATTTGATGAGCAAAGGTGAAGATGGTCGAATTGTGTTGATTCCAATTGATCATGGATATTGCTCGGTCCATGAAATCTCACGCTCTCAGGAAAGCAATATCCATGATCAATTGGAATCAGCACAGTTCGGCCATCTTCACCTTTGCTCATCAAAATGTTCCCAACAGGCCTATTTGCATTTGCCATCCTTATATCCAACACGGAGATTTTATGTACCTCCTCCACTGGGAAAGCACTAGGACCCATGTCCTCACAACTTCCATGGTTCTCCATGAACATCTGCAAAGACCCAATCTTGACAGTTAAACCATCTGGATGATTAAATCCATTGTGCAAGCACTTGACCATCATTGTAGGTGGGACCCCAGCAAATCCCTTATCCTCCCCACAAATAAAGCGGCGCCCATTCTTTGGATGATCTAAAATGTAGGCAGCAACTTCCCTCAATGCACCTTCCCCGACTCTTGTTCCCTTCTTTAGTCCTTCCCCATCCACTGAAATAGGCAGCCCTCGAGGGTTGTTCACAACCATAGGCTCCTCATCTACTGGCTTAAAAACAAATATATACTTTTTCCCCAATGCATCAAGTATAAAATATGCTCCACATGTACCTTCTGAAGACGTAATTGGATAGTTCCCTCTATCTAACCTATCAAATGTTGAGTTAAGCAAATTCTCAAGGACCAAAGGTATTTCAATATTCCGATTAACAATCAGGTTGTTCACAGCCATAGGCTCCTCATCTACTGGCTTAAAAACAAATATATACTTTTTCCCCAATGCATCAAGCATAAAATATGCTCCACATGTACCTTCTGAAGACGTAATTGGATAGTTCCCTCTATCTAACCTATCAAATGTTGAGTTAAGCAAATTCTCAAGGACCAAAGGTATTTCAATATTCCGATTAACAATCAGGTTGTTCACAGCCATAGGCTCCTCATCTACTGGCTTAAAAACAAATATATACTTTTTCCCCAATGCATCAAGCATAAAATATGCTCCACATGTACCTTCTGAAGACGTAATTGGATAGTTCCCTCTATCTAACCTATCAAATGTTGAGTTAAGCAAATTCTCAAGGACCAAAGGTATTTCAATATTCCGATTAACAATCAGGTTGTTCACAGCCATAGGCTCCTCATCTACTGGCTTAAAAACAAATATATACTTTTTCCCCAATGCATCAAGCATAAAATATGCTCCACATGTACCTTCTGAAGACGTAATTGGATAGTTCCCTCTATCTAACCTATCAAATGTTGAGTTAAGCAAATTCTCAAGGACCAAAGGTATTTCAATATTCCGATTAACAATCAGGTTGTTCACAGCCATAGGCTCCTCATCTACTGGCTTAAAAACAAATATATACTTTTTCCCCAATGCATCAAGCATAAAATATGCTCCACATGTACCTTCTGAAGACGTAATTGGATAGTTCCCTCTATCTAACCTATCAAATGTTGAGTTAAGCAAATTCTCAAGGACCAAAGGTATTTCAATATTCCGATTAACAATCAGGTTGTTCACAGCCATAGGCTCCTCATCTACTGGCTTAAAAACAAATATATACTTTTTCCCCAATGCATCAAGCATAAAATATGCTCCACATGTACCTTCTGAAGACGTAATTGGATAGTTCCCTCTATCTAACCTATCAAATGTTGAGTTAAGCAAATTCTCAAGGACCAAAGGTATTTCAATATTCCGATTAACAATCAGGTTGTTCACAGCCATAGGCTCCTCATCTACTGGCTTAAAAACAAATATATACTTTTTCCCCAATGCATCAAGCATAAAATATGCTCCACATGTACCTTCTGAAGACGTAATTGGATAGTTCCCTCTATCTAACCTATCAAATGTTGAGTTAAGCAAATTCTCAAGGACCAAAGGTATTTCAATATTCCGATTAACAATCAGGTTGTTCACAGCCATAGGCTCCTCATCTACTGGCTTAAAAACAAATATATACTTTTTCCCCAATGCATCAAGCATAAAATATGCTCCACATGTACCTTCTGAAGACGTAATTGGATAGTTCCCTCTATCTAACCTATCAAATGTTGAGTTAAGCAAATTCTCAAGGACCAAAGGTATTTCAATATTCCGATTAACAATCAGGTTGTTCACAGCCATAGGCTCCTCATCTACTGGCTTAAAAACAAATATATACTTTTTCCCCAATGCATCAAGCATAAAATATGCTCCACATGTACCTTCTGAAGACGTAATTGGATAGTTCCCTCTATCTAACCTATCAAATGTTGAGTTAAGCAAATTCTCAAGGACCAAAGGTATTTCAATATTCCGATTAACAATCAGGTTGTTCACAGCCATAGGCTCCTCATCTACTGGCTTAAAAACAAATATATACTTTTTCCCCAATGCATCAAGCATAAAATATGCTCCACATGTACCTTCTGAAGACGTAATTGGATAGTTCCCTCTATCTAACCTATCAAATGTTGAGTTAAGCAAATTCTCAAGGACCAAAGGTATTTCAATATTCCGATTAACAATCAGGTTGTTCACAGCCATAGGCTCCTCATCTACTGGCTTAAAAACAAATATATACTTTTTCCCCAATGCATCAAGCATAAAATATGCTCCACATGTACCTTCTGAAGACGTAATTGGATAGTTCCCTCTATCTAACCTATCAAATGTTGAGTTAAGCAAATTCTCAAGGACCAAAGGTATTTCAATATTCCGATTAACAATCAGGTTGTTCACAGCCATAGGCTCCTCATCTACTGGCTTAAAAACAAATATATACTTTTTCCCCAATGCATCAAGCATAAAATATGCTCCACATGTACCTTCTGAAGACGTAATTGGATAGTTCCCTCTATCTAACCTATCAAATGTTGAGTTAAGCAAATTCTCAAGGACCAAAGGTATTTCAATATTCCGATTAACAATCAGGTTGTTCACAGCCATAGGCTCCTCATCTACTGGCTTAAAAACAAATATATACTTTTTCCCCAATGCATCAAGCATAAAATATGCTCCACATGTACCTTCTGAAGACGTAATTGGATAGTTCCCTCTATCTAACCTATCAAATGTTGAGTTAAGCAAATTCTCAAGGACCAAAGGTATTTCAATATTCCGATTAACAATCAGGTTGTTCACAGCCATAGGCTCCTCATCTACTGGCTTAAAAACAAATATATACTTTTTCCCCAATGCATCAAGCATAAAATATGCTCCACATGTACCTTCTGAAGACGTAATTGGATAGTTCCCTCTATCTAACCTATCAAATGTTGAGTTAAGCAAATTCTCAAGGACCAAAGGTATTTCAATATTCCGATTAACAATCAGGTTGTTCACAGCCATAGGCTCCTCATCTACTGGCTTAAAAACAAATATATACTTTTTCCCCAATGCATCAAGCATAAAATATGCTCCACATGTACCTTCTGAAGACGTAATTGGATAGTTCCCTCTATCTAACCTATCAAATGTTGAGTTAAGCAAATTCTCAAGGACCAAAGGTATTTCAATATTCCGATTAACAATCAGGTTGTTCACAGCCATAGGCTCCTCATCTACTGGCTTAAAAACAAATATATACTTTTTCCCCAATGCATCAAGCATAAAATATGCTCCACATGTACCTTCTGAAGACGTAATTGGATAGTTCCCTCTATCTAACCTATCAAATGTTGAGTTAAGCAAATTCTCAAGGACCAAAGGTATTTCAATATTCCGATTAACAATCAGGTTGTTCACAGCCATAGGCTCCTCATCTACTGGCTTAAAAACAAATATATACTTTTTCCCCAATGCATCAAGCATAAAATATGCTCCACATGTACCTTCTGAAGACGTAATTGGATAGTTCCCTCTATCTAACCTATCAAATGTTGAGTTAAGCAAATTCTCAAGGACCAAAGGTATTTCAATATTCCGATTAACAATCAGGTTGTTCACAGCCATAGGCTCCTCATCTACTGGCTTAAAAACAAATATATACTTTTTCCCCAATGCATCAAGCATAAAATATGCTCCACATGTACCTTCTGAAGACGTAATTGGATAGTTCCCTCTATCTAACCTATCAAATGTTGAGTTCAAACCAACATACCAGCGTGGAATAGGCGCGTACACATGCAGAACTGTGCTTTAACGTGAAAAGTAAGGGCACATACCAGACCAAGCTTAACCTGGAAAGACGCAAGCCATAGGTGGAAGGTGATGCAATGAATGCATGCAAACTACAATGTAATATCTACAAATATGCAATGGAATGGATATTTACAAAAATGCATGACAATGCAATATGATGCGACCTACTGGAAAAATGCAATGGATGCATGCAAGCTACAATGGAAATGCATGATAATGCACTATGATGCAGCTTTCCCTATCTTACCAACAGGGCGATATACTAGGTTGGTTCAGTATCCAGAACTGAGGCGCGGACATGCTGCCTCAATCTATGGGGCTTCCATACAGATTTCAAGCCGAGGATACACCTCTGGGTATTTAAACTAGACTTTAGTCTCGGAACTCCCGAACCTTTGCGTTCTAGGCATAAGCCGTTCGAACTCTAGTTTTCACCGTCCCAGTTGGTCTTCTAGGAACTCACCACAAACATAGGTAGGTGGCTTTACCAGACCACCGAAAGTCGTTCGGGCACGACAAACACCAAAGGAATTGCACCTTTAGAGGATTTAAGGTCTCCTAGACCGGGATGCAAAATGTATGCATGACAATGCATGTTTTTGTTTGTTTTTTTTGAAATGCAAATGATGCATGAAATGCATGTTGCATGGAATGCGCGACAACAGACGGCTTAAGATACATATATGATGCAACTTACCAAAAGTCATTCGGGCACGACCAACACCGAAGGACTTGCACCTTCAGAGGATTTAGGGTCTCCTAGACCGTGCGTGTTTAAGGTCTCGCCAGACCATGATATTGCACGAGAAATGCATAACAATGCAAGTGAACTTGAAATGCGCAACAACATGCGGCTTAAGATATGCATGACAATGCCAACGAAATGTGCACACCAATGCATTAAAGGTCTTGCACCTTCCAAGGATTTAAGGTCTCCTAGACCGTGCATGTTTAAGGTCTCACCAGACCATGCCAATACCTGTGCGGTTCGTCTGGTTGCACCATCCTCAAATGAACCGTACATACAATATCGTGCCTGCAAAGAAAACAAACTTAACAGGTACAATGTGGTTAACAATATGCATATTAATGCATTCGAAATGCGTGACAACACAAGGCAAGTGGGGAGCATAACAATGCTGTGAAGGTACAGATGTGTAAGTGGAACATGCGGTCTACGTAGACAACGAAATTAATCATAAGCATGCAGTCTACGCAATAAATGAAATTAACATGCAGTCTACGCGAGTAATGAAATTCACAAATATGCGGTCTACGCAATCAAAACATGCGGTCTACGCAGGTAATTAAATTGAACAATTATGCGGTCTACGCAAGCAAAACGTGCGGTCTACGCAGGTAATGAAATTGAACAATTATGCGGTCTACGCAATCAAAACATGCGGTCTACGCAGGTAATGAAATTGAACAATAATGCGGTCTACGCGAACAAAACATGCGGTCTACGCAAGTAATGAAATTGAACAATAATGCGGTCTACGCAAGTAATGAAATTGAACAATAATGCGGTCTACGCAAGCAAAACATGCGGTCTACGCAGGTAATGAAATTGAACAATTATGTGGTCTACGCAAGCAAAACATGCGGTCTACGCAGGTAATGAAATTGAACAATTATGCGGTCTATGCAAGCAAAACATGCGGTCTACGCAAGTGATGAAATTGAACAATAATGCGGTCTACGCAAGTAATGAAATTGAACAATAATGCGGTCTACGCAAGTAATGAAATTGATTACAAACATGCGGTCTACGCAGGTAATGTAATTAACATGCGGTCTATGCAAGTAATGAAATTGATTACAAACATGCGGTCTACGCAGGTAATGTAATTAACATGCGGTCTACGCAAGTAATGAAATTGATTACAAACATGCGGTCTACGCAGGCAAAACATGCATAACAATGCAAAATGGACGCAAGACAATGCAGGTCGCAAGGAATGTAAGACAATGCAAATGAGGCACGCATGCCAATGCGAATGAGGCACACGTGCCGATGGAAATGGTACAAATGATACAAATGAAACAAATGAGACACGCATGCCTCACGAGATGCAAAATGAAACAAATGAGAGACACATGCCTCATAAGATGCAATATGATACAAATGAGACACGTATGCCTCACGAGATGCAAAATGAAACAAATAAGACACGCGTGCCTCATAAGATGCAGAATGAAGCAAAGTGTGACACGCATGCCACACCGAATGTAAAATGAAACAAATGAGACACGCGTGCCTCATAAGATGCAAAATGAAACAAATGAGACACGCATGCCTCATAAGATGCAAAATGAAACAAATGAGACACGCGTGCCTCATAGGATGCAAAATGAAACAAATGAGACACGCATGCCTCATAAGATGTAAAATGAAACAAATGAGACACGCATGCCTCATAGGATGCAAAATGAAACAAATGAGACACGCGTGCCTCATAGGATGCAAAATGATACGAATGAATTTAAATGCGTAACGACGCACGTGTTTCGAAATGCATGACAATGCACGGTAAGGGAATGCACGACAACGCGAACGATGCGCGAGGCGACGTATGCATTGAAATACATGACAATGCCCGCAATAAAAATGCAATGAAAATGCATGAGAGATGTGCATGACAATGCAAGGGGTGCGTGTTACAACGCATGTAGTATGTGCATAACAATGCAACTGCGAGGCGCATGATAGCGCGATGTAATGCACCGAAATAGTGCGATAAACGCGTGCAACGCACACGGGGTAGCTTTTGGATCTTGTAAGAGGCAAAAAGGATACCAAAGGATACAACATTGCATGAGTTGGAGTGCCATGCACAGAAGACGCGGTCCGAAGTCAAAACAGAGGCCGGTTGAGCGTTGGAGATACACTTTCTTGCACTTTCTTGAGCTATGAAGACCAAAAACTACTCATATGGCCTAAACAAGGTCGTGGGAACACCACCGGCCGGGGAAGGAAGCCACCGGCTGTCCACCGGCTGCAGAATAATTTCATCGGCACAATATTCTGCCGGCCGGCACAAAATGTTGCCGACCGGCAAAAAGTTCCTGAGTCGGGGCAGATTCGACTTTTCACCATGGGTGTTTTAAAATAGGGTTTCCAAACCCTATTTCTTACTTCCTCTTCCGCTGAAAACTCACACTCTCTCTCTCTAGAGCGTTTTCTTCTCCTCTTTTGCCCGTTTCTTCGCGTTCTACGCCCGTTTCGTCGTCGGATTCGCGATTTTCTTCGCGTTTCAGACATTTTCAACCGAACACATCTTTGTTTCGGTTCCTCGTTTGGCGTTTCCACCTTTTTAGGGTTTGTTCCCCTCGCTTTCCTCTTGATTTCCGTGCCCTTTTCACATCCCGGCCTTTTCGGCCATTTTTGACCTTCTCGGGAGTTGACTTTTCGGTTGACTTTCCGTATTCTAGCCCGGTTTTCCTTCCTCCGGCTATTTTCTCATCATTCTTGATATGGCGGATGACATTCCACGTGGCGGGACTCTCCCGGATCACGAGATGGATCCCGGGGTCGAGCTCCTACCTTTGAGCGAGCGCCCGTTCGACCCAG